TGTTGTTTTTTTCTTTTTCAGTTCTCTGGGAAGCCTGAGGATCACCGGGCCAACCTCTCCAAAACATCAGGCCAGCAGCGCCCTCTTCCACCCAGGACTACAGCCAGGGCCACGGTGAGAGCAGAGAAGCAGCGGTGGGCATCTGCCCAGGGTCTGCGATCGCAACCGAAAGGGTCTGCGGCTGGGGCTCCGAGACCCCGGCGGGACGTGGTGGCCTCTACGCCCGGCCTTGGAACCTAAGTGCAGCGGGAAGCAGGCCGGGCGGGCCCCCCTCCCCCCAGCTGCCGGGCCTCACGTTGTCGATGACCACAGGCTGGTTGGCGATGATGTCGTAGGACTCCATGGACGGGCCGCGCCGGCCCTGCCCAGCAGGGGGGCTGCAGGAGGGACCCGCGGCGGGCAGACAGGACAGCTGGCGCAGGACTCCGCGCCGCGCCCCTCCCCTGAGCGCGCAGCCTACGCCAGCCCCGCGGGGTCTTCGGGGCGACGACGACCAATCACCGCTCGCAGGGACCTGATTGGTGGGGAGCGCGCTGGGGCCGACTGTGGGGGAAGGGGGCGGGGCCTTCCAGCCAATAGAAGCCTCCCAAAGGAGCAGCGGGGCTGCGCCTAGTTGAGGGATGAGGTCATTGCTCCGTTCTTAAAGGGAACGCCTGAATAAGAGGGTGGAGCTGACCTGTGCTGAAGACGTCTTTGCCACGCCCCAGCATCCTCCCCGCTTCGTGAGCACCTAGTGCTGCAGGAGGCAGGCCCTGGACACTTCTTCTAAAGCATTTCTTAGTTTTGCCTGTTTTTGAACTTTACGCGAGTGAAACCACAAGTATGTATCAGTTTGCATCTGGCCTCTATACATTCGTGATATGGATCAATGTTCAGTTATTAAAAGTAATGAGGGAGAGCCAGGGATATAGCTCAGTGGCTTGAGTGCCTGCCTGGCAAGCGCAAGGTAGTGAGTTTGATCCCAGGTATCGCAAAAACAAACACAATGTTAAAAGTAATGAGGGAGGTCTGCACCAGTGGATAGGAGAAACACATCGGGGCATACCAATAAGCCAAAGCAAGGAAAGGGCCAAAGAGTGAAACGTTACGTGCATGACTGTCTCAGAACAGTACTTGAGACATCTTCAGATCTCTTTAATTTGGGGAAGGGAAGCTGGCCAAATAGCTCAGTGATTAAAGCGCCTGCAAACAGTCACGAGGCTCAGGAATCTGCCATGCTGGCTGTGGTGGTGTGCGCCTGTGATTCCAGCTCGTGGGAGGCTGTGAACAGGCGGATCACTACGAGTCCGATCTAGTAGTGAGACCCTGAACACCCGGTAGACTGTTTCCTAAAAATACAAAACCAAAAACAAACAAACCCAAAAGCTGGAGGAAGGAACAGTGTGTAGATGTGAGTGAAGGAAGATAAAGTTTTTACCATGTAGGGGCCTGCCCATTAGCACAGTTGTTTAAGTGACTCCTTCAACAGCAGTCAGGCTCAGGTTGCTGTGGTTCAATCCCCAGATCCTCAAGCCATACTAGAAATGCCCTGAAGGCATCGGAGCCAGCTCCCTACTCCCCCACAAAAAAATCCTTCTGAAAGTTTTTACCGTGTAAGCTTTTTTTTTTTTTTATGTATTTGGTCCAGGGTCTCACTATGCAGCTCATACTCATAGTGATCCTCCTGTTTCAGCCTCCCCAGCACTGGGATTACAGGCATGCGCAACCATGCCAGGACTCAGTTCCCGCTCTGTGCACTGGAGGGTGGGGCCGGTGTGGCATGGGGTACTGGGAATCAAACCTTGGTCCCTGACACTTGCCTAAGCATGCGCTTAGTCCACTGAGCTATCTCACCGGCCCTGCCACATAACCTTTTGTATTCGATGTAAACTCGGGCATGCATATATATCAGTTAGCTTTCCACAACTATACTGAATTACTCAAGGTGATTAATTTAGAAAGGAAAAAGTTTTATTTTGGTTTTTGGTTTTGCAGGTTTCCCTCTGAGATTAGGTGACCACATGGGTTTGGACCTCTAGCAAGGATGGTACATAAGCCAGGAAGCTTAGAGAAAGAGGAAAACTTAGGGATCCCCCACGCCTCTGCAAGAACACATCCCTCATGACCCAAGGAGCTCCCTCCGCCATCCTCCTAGCACCTCCTCTTATAGCTCTGAGGGTCCTTCACCACTCTCAATTTGAGGAAGTTTTACTTGCACCCACTTTATACAGCTAAAATGGACTAGGGCTGCAGCTACAGAGAAGCCCCCGGGAGGAAAAACTTCCTTCCCACAGACAGACCCCAAAGAAAGGTAGAGATGGTGGCGCACAGGGTCTGACGCTGCTGCCTATCCTATCTACCTCCGGAACCCAGCCTCAGTAAGAAAAAGAAGGGAGCAATCAGGCGTATTAAGTAAATCCTGCCCAACTAGTTAATTGTCAAAATAAGACGCACCAGAACACTCCTCTCTGATCCTGTTTGGCTTCTGTTTTAAAAATCTTTCTTGTCGTCACTTGGGAGCATATGGTGAAGGATTGAGGTGAATTGAAGTTAGAAGCTCAGGCTCCATTTGCCACCTTTGCAGCAGAATTCTATCATTCTACTTGGTTTTTGTATTTGTCATAGATGAAGAATAGGATCGCCATGTTATACATTGCATTTTCTTCCTTACAATATGACATGATGAACTGCATGCATTAGAAACGGTGCAATATGGGCTGGGGATGAAGCTGAGCAACACAATGACAGCCTGGCAAGTGCAAGTCCTGAGTTGTCTCACTTTTTTCTTGTTGCTGGGACAAAATATCTGACACTCAAAATTAAGGAAGGAAAGGTTTATTTAGCGCACAGTTTGTGGAGGTTTCAGTTCATACTCAGCTGGCTCGGAGGCAGAGCGGCATGTGGCACAGAGCAGCAGTTCATGGTGGCGGACAACAGCAACACAGCCAGAGCAAGAGGGAGGAGCAGAGGTGGAGGAGCAGCGCTGAGCGAGGTCTCTCCCTTCCTTCTGTTGTAGGCTACCTACGGGTGTGGCACTCACGCCCCTAATCCCAGCCTTGGATCATGAATTAATCACACACTCCAGAAGTCTGGCTCAATGACTTCTATGAGGCTTTGGGGGGACAACTAGACACTAATCATAACATGAGTTCAATTCCTGGTATCAACAAAACGAAGTACAATGTAATGATTTTTTTTTTTTAAGTGAGGTCTCAGTGTGTGCTGCCACACCTGCCTAATTTTTACTTTTATTTTATTTTAGTTTTTGGTACTGGGGGGGTTGAACCCAGAATCTTTATTTTTTAATTTTTTTTGGCGGAGCCAGGGGTTGAACTCAGGTCCTTGCATTTGCCAGGGAAGCACTTATTCCACTGAGCCATCTCCCCAGCCACCCCTGAACCCAGAATCTTTACATTGAACTATAATCCCAGACTTTTCTGTGTGTGTGTGTGTGTGTGTGTGTGTGTGTGTGTTTAGACAGGGTCTCGCTGTGCAGCTCAGGCTGGCCTTGAGCTCACTTTGTAGCCCAGGCTGGTCTCAAGTTCACAACGATCCTCCTGCGTCAGCCTCCCGAGTACTGGAATTATAGGAATGCACCACCACGCCCGGCTTCCGGCTTTTTTATTGTTATTTTTGAGACAAGTTGTCACTACATTGCTAAATTGCCCAGATGTAATCTTCCTGTCTCAGCCTCCCAAAGCCCTGCGATTTCAGGTGTGCACTGTTATGCCTGACTTGCCTAGGTCATTCGAATTCTGATGTGTGAATACACCCAGGAAACTCTTTTCTCAATCAAGATAAAGAAGATACCCATGGGGCTGGTGAGATGGCTCAGTGGTCTAAAGCACCTACTTAGAACAAGCTTTAGCAAAGCACCTGGTTCAATCCCCCAGCACCACATGCCAGCTAGCCCCGCCCCCTGGTGGGCTGAGCTGGCCACACACACACACACACACACACACACACACACACACAAATAAATAAAATTAAAAAAAAAAAAAGAAGATACCCAGAAGTTCTGTACCTCTGTAATCCTTTCCCGCCCTCTCCCTTCCGCCTCTTCATTTCTAGACAAGCACTTGCTAGCTTTTGCTACTGCAGTTTGGCTATCACTTTCTAGACTTGTACGTTGAGGGGCTTCTAAAGTGTGGACTTAACTTTTGTTGTTTGGTTTCTATCATTCAGTGTGGTTGGGAGAGTTGCTTCATGTTGTTGGACAGCATGTGTATTGGTTAAGATTTTCCAGAGGAGTAGAATTTATAAAAATATATAAGTGAAGTTATAAAGGGGGCCTTCTGGGAGTGGGCTTGCAGCCTCAGAGTTTGGGTGGTACCACAGTGGCCATCTTCAGTGCAGAGCCCGAGAGCCCAGTAGCTGCTCAGTCCAAGAAGCCGGAAGCCACAGAGCAAGAGGGACCCAAGATGCAGCTCTAGTTTGTGACTGAGGGCTTGGAGAAGAGACTCCTTGGAGAGTCACTGATGTGTCTGCACGGAAGGACTGGAGAGGCTGGAATCTGAGGTCTATTCCAAGGGCAGCAGGAAAAGTCAGACATGAGCAAGCAGAATCGAGCTTGCAAGCCACGGAGGGTTTTCTCCTTCTTCCATTTTTATTCTGTCTGGGTTCCCACCCTACTGGAGATGCACTCCAATCAGAGTGAGTCCCCTCAGTGCAATGGCCTAATGCCAGTCATCTCTGGCAACACCATCCCACCCTCAGCTAGATATAATCTCCTAGTACCTCTCAATCTAGTCAAGTTGACAGTCAAGACTGTCATAACATGTTCGTTCTTTTTTGTTACTTAGTAATATTCCATCACATGGACATACCAGAACAATGCTTTCACCTGTTGTGGATATTTGGAGTGTTTGCAGTTTCTGCTTATTGCAAACAAAGCTACGGTGGCCATTCATGTATGAGTCTTTGGATGGGCTCTTGCTTTCATTTTTCTTAGGTTATAGATGCCTAGGGTTCAAAGCACTGGATCACACAGCAAGTACGTGTTTAACACTTTAAGAAAAAGCTAAGTGTTCTACTATTTTCTACATGTTCACCAGCAGTGTAGAAGAGTTCCAGTTGCTCCATGTTGCCAACATTTGGTACTGTTATATCTTTTTAACTTTTAGCCATTATATTTCATGGTCTATTTTCCTACTGCCTTACAATGTTGAACATCTGTTCACATACCCGTTTCCACCCATGTGTATTCTTCAGTGAAGCATCTTTTTAGATCTTAATGGTACTTCTTTCTTTCTTTCTTTCTTTCTTTCTTTCTTTCTTTCTTTCTTTCTTTCTTTCTTTCTTTCTTTCTTTCTGCAGTACCAGGGATCGAACTCAGGACCTTGAGCTTGCCAGGCATTCAATGGTACTTCTAAAATGATTGTTTAGTGGCCAAATGTGGTTGTACACACTTATAATCCAAGCACTTTGGAGGCTAAGACAGGAGGTTTGTGTGTTAGAGGCTAGCCTGGTCCATATAGCAAGCTCAAGGCCAGTGCAGACAGCAAAGCTATCTAATAAAATGTTCTCTATTTTACATATAGTCTAATATTTATATTTTTTATTGAATATATATTATGAAAAATTTTACCGTTAGTAAATGTTAAATATTACATTAATAAATATAATTTCTCAAATACTGCTTGACCTTTTCATTTTTGTAACTGTGTGTTTTACTTTTTTTGGTACAGGGGATCAAACTCAAGACTTTGTACTTACAAGGCAGGCACTTACGCTACTGAAGTATATCCCCAGCCCCCATAACTATGCTTTTTAAAAATTTTTGTATTTTAGGGAAGGGTCGTCTACAGGGTGTTCAGGGTCTCACTACTAGATCGGACTTGTAGTGATCCGCCTGTTTACAGCCTCCCAAGAGCTGGGATTACAGGCGCGCACCACCACGCCCAGTCTCAATTGCTGTCTCCGCCTGCCCCAGGGGTGAGGCCAGCGTGGCAGGCCCAGGGATTGAACCCTGGCCCCTGTACCTGCTTGCGGGTGCTTTAATCAGCTGAGCTATTTGGCCGGCCCTGTAACTATGTTTTGAAGGACAAATATGTTTGTATTTTGAGGAAGTTTAACTCTCAAGTCTGTAAAAATTTATTTTATATTCTTTCGGTATTATAGTTTTATCATTCCCATTTATGACTATGCTAAATGTTGACTTAATTTTTGTACATAGTGTAAGGTAATCAATGAGGTCCAGCTTTTGCATAGGCTATATCAAATTATCCCGGTCTTATTTGTTGAAAAGATACACTGTCTCCATGGAATTGCCTTGGTGCCTGTGACAGTAATCAATTGATCTCTTATGCCTGAATTTATCTCTGTATTCTATTCTGTCCCATTCATCTACATGCTAGTAACACACTTTTGTTTACTGTCGTTTTATGAACCTTGAAATCAAGTAGATAAAACCCAACCTTCCGCCCCTGCTAGTTGTTTTGGATATTATGAGTTCTTCGAAGGCCTGCTGCTGTTGTTCCGTGAAAGGGTGATTACGTAGACTGCACAAGGCCCTCGCTTCTGTTCCCAGCACCACAGCTTAGGGGCTTCGAAAGCCCTTGTCTCTAAAGAAGAAATAAAAAGGGGGCTGGGGATGTAGCTCAATGCAAAGGCTCTGGGTTCAGTCCCCAGTACTGCAAGAAAGAAACAAAACCCCCAGAACAACCCCATTGGATTCAACTTGCAAAAGAATTTTCATGTGTATGTTTAGGAAACATATTTGATATATAGGTCTTTTCCTGGAATATATTTGGTTTGAGAACGAGATAACGCTGTCTCCTAGATGAGGGGGGACAGTGCTTCCTGCAGCTTCAGTTTCCAGAAGGTTTTGTGTCAAATTGGTGATATTTCTCCCTTAAATATTGATAAAGTTTACCAAGGAGCCATCTGGGCTTTGAGGCTTCATGGTGGGAAGATTATCTTCTTCTTCTTTTTTATTTTTTTGCGGAACTGGGGATTGAACTCAGGCCCTTCACTTGCCAGGGAAGCGTTTATTCCACTGAGCCATATCCCTGGCCCTCTTCTTCTTTCTTTCCTTTTTTTCTTACTAGATCTGCAGCTGGTCTGGACCTCTCCTTCAGTGGGCTTTATGAGTTTGTGTCAGTCATGGATTTTTTCCATTTTATCTAACTTGTTGGATTTTTTTTTGGCAAAAAGCTGCCCATAACATCCTGCTTTTCCCGCTCGTGTCTGCTGTCTCTGCAGCGATGTCTACGCTCTTGTCCTTTATATTTGTGCCATGCATTTTTCATCCTCTCAGATCAGCATGACTAGAGATAAATACAGCCAATATTTATTGATTTTTCTCAAAGAATCAGCTTTCATTTCATTGACTTCTAAGAGCTTTATGTTGTTTTGTTTTTTATTTTTTATTTTATTTTATTTTTTTGAGACAGCATCTCAGTAGCTGGCCCAGGCCAGCCTTCAGCTTGAGATCTTATTGCCTCAACCTTCCAAGTGCTGGGATTACAGGCCAGACTTTCTATCTTTAAAGTCTTGGAACATCAACTTTGAGCGCAGAAGAATATTCTCCAGAGAGGTGTGTGCCTGCAAAGCCTAAAATATTTTCTATCGGGCTCTTTCCAGAACTTATCTTGACCTCTGCTTTAGACCAGGGTGGTTGCATCATTATAGGTTATTTTGCACCAGGTGTGGTGGCATCCACCTGTAGTCCCAGTTACTTGGGAGGCTGAGGCAGGATAATCCCTTCAGCCCAGGATTTCAAGGCCAGATTGAACAACATAGTCAGACCTGGTTTCGAAAACCAACCCAACAAAAGAACACCACCACTTCCTACAGAAAAATAAAAACTAAGTTTTCTTCTCATCATGTTGGGTGTTTAACAGATCTTTCTGGAAATGGGAGACCTCCTCTTCTGGTGACAGGAGGGGACACGAGGGAAAGGAAGAGGCCAGTGACCCAGAATTCTACTGTGCAAATTTTGTGTCATCTTTTGCTTGCAGAAGGCCTCTCTCACCCATTGCAGCTGTGTGCAGACAAGAGGGCCGAGAGCCAGGCTGGCAACATAATTGAGGGGACTCAGTACAGTGCAGGTGGCCAGGTGTAGAGGCATACACCTGTAGTTCTAGCACTCAGGAGGCTGAGGCAGGAAGATCGCTGGGAGTTTGAGGCCAGCCCTTGTCTCAAAACAAACAAATAATGCAGGAAAAAAAAAAAAGCAGGGGAAAAATACAGTTAAAGATACTAACATACAAAGATACCTTCTTTGCAAATAGATTTTCTTATACTTCAGGTTACTTTATTGGAGTTGCATGCCCACATAATTAAAGGTAACTAACAAGTAATATCTTTAGTGTTTTTCTTTTTGAGACGGTCTTACTCTGCAGTTCAAACTGGCCTTGAGCTCGCTTTGTAGGCCAGGTTGGTCTTGAACTCTTAATAATCTTCCTGCCTCAGCCTCCTGAGTGCTGGGATTACAGGCAGGCACCAGCACTCTTAGCTAATATTTTTAATTTTTATTAACTTATATTTGCAATAGCAGGGATTGAATGCAGTGGCAAAAGCATGCTAGGCACGTGCTCTACCACAAGACTACACCTGGAAGCCTTTTAATTTTTATTTGGAGACAGGGGCTGGCTAGGTAATCCAGGCTGGTCTTGAACTTTGATCCTCCTGATTCACTGAGTTGCTGCTGTCATAGGCATAGGCCAGCACATCCAGCCTAGTAATATTTATAAATGTAATTATCTCTGAGGCTTCCAGTTTCTGTGGAAAGGAGTGACTTCAGTTCTAAGCAAATCTCCTCTTGGGTGTTCTTCAGTGAGGCCAGTCTGTTGGTTGTCAATTCTGCTGAAAATAATTTAATACTAATGGAATAGAATAGGGGAGAGTACCATGAATTTATCAATGAGTTTATACTGTGTGTGGTGTTATAGTTTATACCACTGTGTCAGTTAGCTTTGTCAATATCCAAGGAAATCGATATAATAAAATGAGCTGGGCATGGTGGTATATGCTTGTAATCCCAGGGCTTGGGAGGCTGAGGCAGAAGGATCATTGTGAGTTCAAGGCTAGCCTGGGTTATATAGTGAGACCCTGTCTCAAAAAACAAAACAAAACTTAATAGAGGAAAGGTTTATTTTGGCTCATCGTTTCTGAGGTTTCAGTTCATGATCACTTGCTTGCTTTTGGAACTAAAGTGTCATAATTCACCACAGTGGCAAAGTGTGGCAGAGGAAGCTGCCCAGCTCACCAGGACCAGGAAAAGAAAGAAGCAAAAGGGGAAATGGGTCCCCATAGCCCCTCCAAGGCCACGCCCCAATAACCTCACTTCCTTGGACAAGGTCCCGCCTCTTAAAGGTTCCATTACTTCCCAATTGCACCCCAGCTTGGGAACCAAATCTTCCACCCATGGGCCTTTGGGCGATGTTCAGACATAAACAACAGCACCCTAACTTCCATTTCTTAGGGTGATGTCTTGGTCAATCTTAGGCTTTTCCTTGCATAGTGTAGCTGCTTCCATTTCACCGTCAGTGCTTTGCCTGAGTACTGGTTACTTGTATCTTAAGAGTCTGCTAATGTCCTGCTGCCTTCAGCCTGCAGGATGAGCAGGAAGGATGAGAGAGCTAAGGAGCGTGAGTGGAGGGGCAGCTTCTGCCCCTGTCTGCAGACTGAGTGCCCCGCCCCTACCTTCTGAGTGTGACCTCACAGACCATGGATTCCATGAATTCCTTGGGCCCACAGTTGCTGCCGACCAGCCAGGGCTGGCATACAGTCCATGGCGAAGATGAGCCAAGTTGTGACCCTCTTTGTCCTCTTCCTGGACTCTTGGCCCAGTGCGGAGCGCTACCCTCACTCCCAAATCACAGGTACCCTCAGCACAGCTGGAGGAACAGGGTCCCGGGGGGGGGCTGGTGTCCCCACCTGCAGGGCTGCGGTGGCCAGCTCAGGCCTCCTCATCGCCATCGCCTCTACCTCTCTGAGTTCACCACTGGGGAAGTACTGCCCGGTAGGGGAGAGTAATTTGAAAAGTTTCCCTAACTTTAAAACTTTCTTAAAATCAGGAGCCCTGTGTGAGGATAGTACACATATACACTGCAATTTTTTATTATCAAAAGCATTTGAGAGCTGCAGGCCGGCCTGGGCTCCATAGTGAGATCCAGTCTCAAACACGAAAAACAAAAAACAAATACAGCAGCAGACCTTCTTCTCCATGGCTGCAGCTATGCCATGGCCAACCACAGTCTGAAAATACTAGGTGGAATAATGAGGAAGCACACTAGTTTTAAGTGTTACACTTCTTTTTTTTTTCAGCTAACACAGAAGAGGTGATTTATTTATGTACATGCTTTATGCTTAGCCAAAAGTGAAACAGAAGTAGTCTAGAATGCCACAAGTCCGGGGCAAAAAACCAGGAGAGACTGCTTAGTTTAAACCAGGTGGATCTCTCTTTGAGGCGCTCTTGGCGGCCAGATGGCAGTGAAGTTCTAATCCGTGGAGACATTCTGGATGGTATGCCGTCCAGAACTTGCAGCAGCGTTGTCAGCCTCCAGCACTCTTTAATCCTGCTCCTTTGGCCCCCACGGATGTACGAGCTATTTTACTTGGACCTCTGTCTCCTCTTTCTTCTTTTATGCTTCAGTCTGTGCCCTCGCTTCTTCCTCCACTTGGCTCTCATGGCGCAGTTTCTAAGAAGATGGTGTTAAAGTCGAGAGAGCGAGTGTTACACGAGTGTGTCCTTGGAGTAGCAGGATGAAACTGCATCCTGGTACTCAGTGATGACTGGCGGCCAGAGATACCCTACCTGGCAACGCTGCCGAGCACTGACCAAGCTCATCTGCCTGCGAACGGTGTCACAAGACAGCTGACACTACAAGTTCTAGCTTGCACAGTGGGCACCAAACAACGAGTACCAGGGGCCAAGGCTTTGTGTCACAATGCATCGAATACCAAATTCCATGTGTTTTAAAGAGGCCGAGTCCCGAGGTGCAGCTGCCTTTTCAGCTGTCCTGCCCAGGGTGGGATGTGACACTCTGTCCACCTGTCTACACTATGTCCACCTCCTGTCTGTTAGCCTCACAGCTGTCATTCTGGGTGTCAGGTCACCTGTCATGGTGTCACAGTGCTCAAGGGCAAGTCGCCCTTATTTTCTAAGCCTTGGCCTCAAACCACGAGACGGTGGCGATGCTGACAGGGCAGATGCCAAAAGAGGAGACACAAAGCACTCCTGGAACTGACAAGGTGCAAGTCTCTGACTTAACAAGGAGGGGAAAGAACACGGTGCTGAGGGTCTATGGGGAGAATAAAACTTCTCTTTTTCGTTTCTTGGTGCTGGTGACAAATTCAAGGCCTGCTGAAGGCTGAGCAGTGACCACCCCTGAGCTAAGTCCCCAGCCTGTGATGAAAGATTTAATCCCAGCTGAGTTTATTTCCCCCCCAGGTTCAAATAGTACAGTTTCCTCAAGTTCAAAGAATATGGAAAAAGATGTGGCTAAAATATTTGGTAAGTAACCCCCTCCTGTAAAGCTGTTAGGTCAGGAGTCCCCAGGCCTGGGGTCACAGAGCTGGTCCGGGGGCTGCTCGGGAGAGGTGGTGTGGCAGGTGCGTGGCGGGGAGCAGCAGAAGCTCCTCTGTGTTTCCAGCGACCCCCACCTCTGGCTGCCCCGCCTCGGTCAGATCAGCTGCAGCTTTAGATTGTCACAGAAGTACCCACTCTGCTGTGAACTGCACTGGAAGGACCCAGAGCGCTCTCTCCTTAGCAGAGTCTAATCCTGACCCTGGTCCCCCCAGCCCACCCTGGTCCACAGAAAAACTATCTTACAGAAAAGTGGTCCCTGGTGGCAAAAATATTGGGGACTATGGCGTTAGGGTGTATCTGAAGAGCCACACACTTGTTCGTGGGGTCTCCTGGGACACCTGTTCCCCCCGCTCTGAAGGGGATGACCAGCACTTTGTTTTGAGGTTAGGATCAGCTCCTCTAAGAGTCATGGCCCCAAGAGATTAGGCCAAATAAAAAGTTAAACATGTGGGACCATGTTGCCCAAAGGCAGTGGCGTAACAGAGACAGGACCACCACTGGAGAGGACACTCCGCCCATAGAGCTGCCACTACAATTCCTACCCTAAGAGCCTGCAAGGCCCAAGGCTGAGTTGGACCTCTCCCCACTGCTGTCAGCTTAAACCCAGCATGAGAATCACTGGAGAGGTTGCTAAAACAGTCACTCCCCGCCTTGAACTCTCCGTGTAGCCTCAAACTTGCAGCGATCTTCCTGCCTCAGCCTCTCCAATGTGAGGGATTACAGGTGTGTGCCACTAGGCCTAGCTGTGTCAGCTTTTTCCAATGACCTTTTTTTTCTTATGTATTTGGTACAGGGTCTCACTACACAGCTTGGACTTGCAGTGGTCCTCCTGCTTCAGTCTCCCCAGTGCTGGTATTCTAGGCGTGTGGCACCATGCCTGGTCTTTGTGGCTGGCTTGGCATGCCCGTGGTGTGGCCGTCAGGGCATGTGGTACTGGGGATGGAAGCCGGGTCCTTACCCTTGCCTGGGCAGGCGCTTAGACCACTGAGCTATCTCTGCGACCTTGTATTAGCTTTTTAAGAGCTGTAGACCTCAGGACATGACCACCCCCCCCATTAGAGGAGGATTTCTCCCTTTATGGGGTGACTCCAGGATGGGACTTATTGGTCTATTCCAAGTTTTGAGAAAACTAGCAATGTGGGTTAGCTGATCTGGGGTTATTGTTATAAGAAAGGTAGGGATGATTTTTGCTTTTTTGTTGGAACTCTGTTAAATGTTTTTAGACACTGTTCTTTTCAATTTCACAAAAGACCTGAGTTAAATAATAGCTTCCTCATCCCACTGGTGAGGGAACCAAAGATTGAAGGATGAAGTTAGTTGCCTGAGGTCATGTTTTAAGTAAACAGCAAAATCAGGATCTGGGTGTAGGACTCTTGGTGACCAATTCCTAACTCTTACTTGAAAAGCTTTCTAGGAGAGGCAGGAAGCTCTTAAAGGAACAAATGATGTTTCTAGCCTCGTACGTTTGGTGGGCTACGTTACCTGGGCAGGACCCTGGGTGTGATCCGGGCACTCCACTAACGACTTGGGTCTCTCAGTCCCCCTTCCCAAGACAAGGCATTCAGAGCACAGTGTCCATAGCCCGAGTTTGTGTCACTGGCTCACTGTGTGCACGGACCTCTTCAGGCCCTCACAGAGCAGGCCTTACCAGTCCGCCGCTGTGTTAACACACCTCTGTCTGCCTCCCTCAGATGACATTCTGCAGCAGGTGTCTCCTGAGGAGCCGGTTGGCGAAGCTTTGAGGAAAGCAAGTATGACAGCAGGGCCAGTTACAAGGGCAGACCTGGATGAAAGCAAGTATATGTCATAGCCACCCTGCTGCACGTTTCCTTGGGACTGGGAATTGGGGTATACTGGTGGACCAGGCTGTCACTTAGCATTCTGGGAACCAGCTGCTGCCGGGGCAGAGCCCGCCTAAGATGTGAGTTTCTGAGAGAACTGTGGGAAATCCTTCCCTAATGAGGGTAGTCATTTCCTGAGGTCTGTAGCACAGATGTGACTGTATTGGGGGTGGTTGTCCCTGCTGTGCTGTGTCAGGCAGGTTCTGCCACTCTGGTTGGTGTTCAGAAAATAGGAACCTGACTTGCATGTGAGGCTTCCTGTTCCTTGTGAAATGAACTATGAGTAATCGCTTTGTTTTCACTAGCGCGGTATCATTCACTGCCTGGGATAGCAGAGCATCTCATCTTTTCGCCATCACACACATTCCTACTTCAGCCTTTGTAAAATGTCTTCCCCAATAACAGAGCTTATTTCTATTAACATTGACATCAGATACCAAAGATAAGAGGATACAGCTGGTTACATGTCAAGAACAAAAACAAACACACACACACACACACACACACGCACACACACACACACACACACACACAGAGGAATACACACATTAGCCCTAAATCACAAAAATAATAGAGAAACCCTTTGCATGAAGAAGAAAATTAGCCAGGCACAGTGTCACATACCTATAACCTGAGCACTTGAGAGGCTAAGGCAGGAGGATTGCTGCAAGTTCAAGGTCAGCCTGGGCTATACAGTGAGATCAAGGACTGCCTAAACTACATAATAAGACCCCATCTCAAAAAAAGAAATTTAAAAATTAAAAATGGGTAATTAGCAGGGTAAGTCTTGAGGCATTACTGTGTAAGATTATCAGTAAAGCAATCTGATAACTATAGACCCTGCCAATGCATTTCTTAGGCCATTTGCTTAATGTAAAAATGTAAAAATGATGTTTTATTACATAATCTTGATGGGTTGCCCTGTACCATGCTCCTTTGGTCAACTCAATATCTTCAACACAGTTTTAGTGACGTGCTTGGAGGATAAGTGTATCTGTTCCTAATGATTCACTGATACCCTATTAACAGAACCAAGCATTTGCCGTTTATTGTATCGGAACTTTGACATTATTGCACACATACCACGCAGGCACTTCCTCCAGTGTTCCCAGAGTCAAAGCTTGCCGTGTGTATTGCCTGTTGGGAAACCCGGCAAAGATGAGCTTTGTCATTGGTTTTGTGCTGGAACGTCAGGTGACTGCAGATGCTTCATGAATGTTCTGTGCCACCCAAAGTACAAGCCACCTGCCCCATACTCTTCTCCAAATACCTCGCAGCGGAGAGTGACTTTATTATTATTTTAAAAAATATTTATTTATTTATTTGATACAGGGTCCTGCTATGCAACTGAGACTCAGAGTGGTCCTCCTGTCTCAGCCTCCCCAGTGTTGGGATTACAGGCAGGTGCCACCATGCCCAGCTTCAGTGGCCAGCTTGGCTTGAGGCTGGCATGGCATGCAGTACTGGGGATGGGACCTGGGTCTTTGTACTTGCCACTCAGGCACTTAGACTCCTGAGCTATGTCCCCCACCCCCAGAGAGTGACTTTAAAGAGAATGAGTATAGATGCAGTGGAAAAATTAATCACAACTGAAGTTTATTTCACCACAGGTCATTTCTGGCAAAGTGGCTTGAGCAATTCTGAATTGGCATCAAGTCCAGCTAAGCAAGATGAACACTTAAAAAAGATATTGGGTGAGTAATATCCCTGTGTGAAACCTTTCATCTGGATTTGCAGAGTACGTTCTTGTCCTTGGTTGTCTCCAAGGTGACCTGTTCCTGTTGCTTGTGGCTACAATCCATTCCTCTACATGTTAAAGTACTGAGAAATTAAGCAAATTGTGGAAAACAAGCACTTGCAAAAGATTCTGGTTCTCAAAAAGGGGATCAGGTAGCGGTACCAGGGTGTCCACCTGGAAGCATGAGATTCTCCCACGGAAAGAGACCATCTTGTCCTGTCTGGATGCAGCATCTGACTGGGATGCGGGGAGACCATGGTGCTGGGGGTTTGCAAAGCCTTCTAGTGATTGTCAGATAGGTCTCACTGGTCCACCTCAAGAATCTCATTTACTGTTTAAGAAAAACTAAGGTCTTGATAGAAGATAGGGTAGGAAGCTCCAAAATATGCCCCTTTACTAAAACAGTAATTGAGCTAGTTAGACTTGTCTAGCCATTAGCTATTTTGGAACACTGGAGTCTCATCAAACACTCAGAGTCCCAAGATGACTTGGATGAGGAGGCTGGTAATGCTGGTGAACTCCAGCATGTCACATTGGAACTGCTGGTCTCTGTCTTCAAGCCCTGTGGCAGGCAGCCATGTGAATAGCAGCCCACATGCCTGGTGAGGCTTGCGAGTTCCAGCGTGGGCAATAGGAGCCGTGTCCTCTAAAACCTAGCTTGGGTGTTTGGTTGCTGATTGATGCTTTAAGTGACTGCTGACACTTAAGTCTGGCCATTGTTTAGAGCTCCATAGAATGAAGAAACTTTCAAGTAATTATACAGAAAGAATCCCTTTCCCTGCCTTATGGGAGACAGATTTTAACAAAACTTTTGTCTGACTACTGCTTGTTTTCAAACATAACAAAACAAAAACAACATACACGTACAGGAAAGAATATACACTTTGTGACAGTAGTCTAGAGAAATCACATATGGACAGTTGTATCTGTTAATAAGCATAAAAAGCAATTCCTGAACAATGGAAGGATTATATTTTATGAATTACCAAAACTTAATACTCAGAACCTCCACCTTAAACAAAAATGAAAAACATGTAAAGAAATAGAAAAAAAAAAAAAGGAATTTGACAGACCCCATCCCAGGGTGCTGGAATTATTAGTCCACTTCAGAGCCTGGGCATTATAATTATTCACCAAAATGTTATACCTGCTGTTTTCAGTATGTTCTGTGAACTAAAGGCAACTCTGTTGGTAACTTCCACATGAGTTAAGGAAATCAGGTAAACAACATAAGGAAAAAATGAGAATATCACTAAGAGGACAGAGATTGTACAGAGGCACCTCAGGGAAGTTCTGGAGCTGAAAAGCGCTAGAAATGAAATGAAAAGCTTACTGGATGGTTCAACCGCAGATTAAACAGGTGGAAGAAAGAATCAGCAAGTGAGTATCAGTCAGGGAAATTATCCTGTCTGAGAAGCAGAAAGAAAATAAACACCACAGGAGGGGCTTGGGGGACAACAGGATGCAAAGCATGAGACTCTCAGAAGAGGAGGAGGAGAAAGAGGGCCCTAGAGTGCTTGGGAGGCTGAGCCCCCCAAATCTGATGAAAGACTGAACAGATGCATCCAAGAAGCTCAACAAATGCCAAGTCAGATGAACTGAAAGAGATGCGAGTTGAAGCCTGTGATAATCTAATTGTCAAAACCCAGATGCAGAGAAAAAACTGGAAGCAGCAAAAGAGAAGGGATGCATCACGTTCGGGGATCCTCAGTAAGATCCACGGCTCGTTTCTCAAAACTTATGGAACACTGAAGGCAGTAGGATGGCATTTTAAAAAATATTTATATTATTTATTTGTTTGCTTGTTCTGAGACAGAGTCTTGCTATGTAGCCCAGGCCTCTGTTGAACTCGGCACATCAGCCCAGGCTGGACCCATACTTGAGGCAGTCTTCCTGCTTCTGCTTCCTGAATGCAGGGATTCCAGGGGTTCACCACCACATCCAGTTTAGGGTGTAATTTATAAAATCGTTTTCTCCCCCCCGTAATTTTATTGAGAAACAAATAGCAATGAGACAGTTTCAAACCAAATTGGTAGGGCAGTTTCAATAATTAACTATAAAATCTTGAAGAAAATTATGTCAAGCAAGAATTCTATATCTTGTGCTGTGCCGGCCCTGCCCATGGGGCGCGCTGAGACTGTGACTGACACTGGGTGTGGTGGCACATACCTGGAATCTCAGCGCTTGGGAGGCTGAAAACAGGAGAATCACTGAAAATCCAATCTGTGTAGTGAGACCCTGTACTATATACATTAAAAAAAAAAAAAAAAGAATTCTGTATCTTCAGGTATGGTCGTGCATGCCTGTAATCCCAGCGATCATGAGACTGAGGCAAGAGGATTGCCAGGAGCTGAAGGCCAGCCTGGTCTGCATAGTGAGACCTTGTCTCAAGCCCGCACCCCCCAAAAATACCAAAAAAGAAAAAAATGTATCTAACAAAAGTGTCCTTTATGAATAAAGGCTAGTCCTCACAAGAAATGTAAACATATACTACAAACATGTACTATTATATTAAAAAAATTAAAAAGAAAAGGTGAAATAACATATTTCCAGATTAACAAAAGTTGGGAGATTTGTCCTACAAGAAATACTTAAGGGCCTGTTAGGCTGAAATAAAAAGCCATTAGATGCCACTTTGAAGCCGAAAGCAAGACAAATTTGGTAAAGGTAACTGCACATTGAAATATAAAAGCCAATATCTATCTATCTATCTATCTATCTATCTATCTATCTATCTATCTATCTATCTATAGGGTCTACAGAGTCTCATTGCATACATCGAACTTTCGAAGATACAGTGATCCGCCTGTGTTCAGTCTCCCAAGAGCCGGGATTACAGGCGGGCACCACCACCACGCCCAGTCTCAGTTGCCATCTCAGTGTGCCCCGGGGGCGGGGCTGGCACTGCAGGATCATTATGTTTTTTATTTGCTCTATAAGTTCTTTTTTCCTATACAATTTAAAAATGAGCATGGAGCCTATAAAAATGTAATCAATCTGCGGCAATAATAATACAAAAGGATGGAATATAGATAGATATGAAGAGAGTACATTCTACTGAAATTAGGTTGTTATCATTTAAACCAAGTTGCTATAAATTCAAAATTGGTAAGGGGGTTACAGGTGCATGCCACCATGCCGGGTGTGTCATGGATTTTTGACAAGGGTGCTAAGACTAGAAGGTGAAGAAGGCTCTTCCAGGGCTGGCCAAATAGCTCAGTGGACTAAAGGGCCTGCTTAGACAGGCACAGGGACCAGGGTTCAATCCCCATGCTGGCCCTGCATGAGACTGGGCGTGGTGGAGTGTCTGTAATCCCAGCACTTGGGAGGCTGAAAACATGAGACTCACTACGAGTCTGATCTGTGTAGTGAGCCTCTGTCGTCCCTATACTAAAATACATTAAGAGGAAAAGAAAGAGGAAAGAAGAAGAAGGCTCCTCTAATGATCTCTGGAAAGCTGGCTGTTTCCATGTAAAAGACTGAAGCTGGATCCTTAGCTTACATTATATTACAAAAATTAAACCTCCAAGTGGCTCAGAAGTCTTAATTCCTGAGCTAAAGTCACTAAACTTGAAGTATAGATGAAGATCTTCACTCCCTGGACTGGGACATCTTAAATCACCAAAGCATGGGGACACGAGACAATCTTGATATCCCGGATGTCATCAAAATGGAAAACTTTGGAGTTTTAAAGGCATTTTTGTCACAAAATGAGATAAATTGCAGGCCATACATCTGATGGGGGGTAATATCTGGAATACCTGGGGAACTCCTGCGACTCAGCAGCAAGGTGATTCAAAGACTTGAATAAGATTTTTTTTTTTTAAAGAAAAAGTGTAAAAAGGCCAATACAAACATGAAAGACTGCTGAACATCACCAGTCACCAGCGAAACGTAAAACACTACTGGCTCACATGCAGTAGAACAGCTATTGCCCAAACAAGGGAATTAACAAGCATTGGTGAGGGGGAAGGAAGCTAGAACCCTTGGACATTCCTAGCGGGGACCTACACTGATGCAGCTGCTGGGAAAATGGCTTGAGAGCGCCTGGAGACGCTAGACACAGAATTACCGCATGACGTAGGAATTGTACTTCTAGAGTACTGACAACAGGACTCAGGCGGCAGGTTATGGGCCGGTGTGCACAGCAGTATTAGTCAAAATAGGAAAGAGCTGGAGTAGCACAGGTCGACCAGCGGACAGAGATACATGGACAGATGCAGAGTATCAGCATGGAGTATTACTCACTCACGGGAAGGAAGGAAATTCTAATTACAACATGCAGCAGATGATGCAGGAACAATGAACCACGGAGGAATTACGCTGAGCAAAAGAAGCAAGACATAAAAGTACTAATCTCATCTGAAGCTATTACCATGTGAAATCAACAGGTCCACAGGGACAGAAAATAAAATAGCATTTACCGGGGGATGGGGAGGAAGAAAAGGAGCTATGGCTTGGTGTGCATCTTAGTGTGTTTAGTGCTGTTATCAGAGAAGAACACAGACTAGGTGATTTTTTTTTTTTTTTTTTTTAGGCAGGGTGTCACTATGTAATGCAGACTGGCCTTGAATTGAGGCAGTCCTCCTGCCTCAGCCTCCCAGAGGCTGGGATCACAGGTGTGTACCACCATACCCTGCCGGATGAGGTGATTTAAATAATGGTGGAAAGTTCTTGGATCACCTTTCTGGAGGCTGGGAAGGGCCAGGCTGAGAGTCTGGCACCCCAGAGGGCTTTTTGCTGCCTGGGTCAGGCAGAGGCATAATGTCCCTTGTGAGACAGCGCCTGGGGCCCTAATGCCTCCCACCAGATCTCGTCCTCAGGGCCGCCCTGGAGACAAAGATGCCCACATGGGCCCTCTGGGGACACATTAAAACCATAGCAACAGGGACGAGGTTCATGAATGGGGCATTATGAATAGTGGCTCTGTCTACACACATCATGACTGTTTTCAATGCCACTGAATGGTACATTTGAAAATAGTTAAAGTGAAACTTTTCCTACAAGGCGTGGAAAATGAAAGTGATTTAAAAAGGAAACCCTGCCATGGCATTTTGGAGAGGCATGCCCCCCAACCCTGAGGTGGACCCCCATCTTAGGCACTGTTCAAGATGTTGGGGGTTACTGCTCCTCTACATGGTGTCCAGGGACCCTAGTCAAGCTGCAGCAGCTCTCTGACTGGTGACTGGTGACCAGTGACCAATGACCAATGGAGTGGCCTGTGACAGTGATGGGGTGAAGGAGCAGACGCGGCCATACTTGCTGGCCCATCTGCTGCACTTGCTGTATAGGGACCAGGAGATGCGTCCTCTTCCTGTAGCTGACCGCAGGATCTCTCTGGGGTTCAGGAAGATGTTGTCCCCAAGGCCAGCTGACCTGCACAATGCCGGTGGACACCACCTGGCCAGCCAGCTTCTCCCAGAGCTGCATTTTCAGGGTCCTGTAGGTCACCACATCTGTGCAGTCCTGGCCCTGCGCCTTGCGAGCCTGATGGCTCCCTTCTAGTGCCTATCGAGGATGTCCCCACCCAAGTGCCGACACCCTGAGTCCAGGCCTCCAGCAGAGCCCACAGCGATGGCATTAGTGACAGCTATGCTCCTTAGCTCAGCAGACAAAGCCTAGAAAGGGAAGAGTAGAGGCCTGAAAGCTATAAAAGGGAGAGAGGAGACCTTAAGACATTTTAAAACTACAACCCTAAACATTAGTAACAGTATTTTAAAGCAAAAGATCTTTGTGACATTTTAAAGCGTTTTGCTTTATTTCTACCCTAACAGCCTTCACCCCATTTTCACGGGTCATCTTGGGGAGCTCTTGTAGGTGGGTCATAATGACAATAGGAACTAGAAGGAAGATTATGGCTGAAAATGACACTTGGAGTTATAGTCATATGTCCCGGTGGACGATATTAGCTACAGTCATAATGATCCAGCAATGACTGGGTCTCCACAGTCCCCCTTCCTAAGACAAGGTGTCTCAGTTACTCTTCTCTCGTTGCTGGGACAAATACCTGACACTCAAACTGAAGGAAGGAAAGGTTTATTTAGCTCACAGTTACAGTTACTTCAGTCCATATTCAGCTGGGTCCAAGGAAGAGCAGCACAAGGCAGAAAACAACCTTTCACGGTGGCAGCAAAGAGCAAAGGAGCAAAAGGAGGAGCAGCAGCTGCTCCGGCAGCTAACTTCTCTTTCCTCCATTCAATGAAATGCAGATTACCTGCCCCAGGGCAGGTGCAGCATCCACACCCACAATAATCAATCACAAACTCCAGAAGCCTCCTCAAGACTGCAAGAGGCTTTGGGGGCACAACTATACACAAACCATAACACAAGGCGTTCAGAGCACAGTGTCCATAGCCCGAGTTTGTGTCACTGGCTCACTGTGTGCACGGACCTCTTCAGGCCCTCACAGAGCAGGCCTCACCAGTCCGCCGCTGTGTTAACACACCTCTGTCTGCCTCCCTCAGATGACATTCTGCAGCAGGTGTCTCCTGAGGAGCCGGTTGGCGAAGCTTTGAGGAAAGCAAGTGTGACAGCAGGGCCAGTTACAAGGGCAGACCTGGATGAAAGCAAGTATATGTCATAGCCACCCTGCTGCACGTTTCCTTGGGGCTAGGGGTTGGGGTATACTGGTGGACTAGGCTGTCACTTAAGCATTCTGGGAACCAGCTGCTGCTGGGGCAGAGCCCGCCCAAGATGTGAGCTTCTGAGAGAACTGCCGGAAATCCTTCCCTAAAGGGGGTTGGAGTGGGTGGGTCTGAGGTGTATAACATGAACGTGACTGTATTTAGGGTGATTCCTTCTGTGCTGTGTCAGGCAGGCTCCGCCACTTGGGATAGTGTTCAGAGAACAGGAACCTGATTTGCATGTGAGGCTCCCTGTCCCTTGTGATATGAACCCCAAGAAACACAGAACTTCCCAGCCAACATGCTTTGGACTTCCATGTACATGAAGTGGCTTGAAAGAGCCCATGTGCTTGTTAATAACCCAGCCAATAGAGGGTGAGACAAGAACCCAGATAACGTGTCCTAGGCACACCAAGGGCAATGTGGAAAAGAACAACCTTCTTTTCCCCCCAAACAGCTTCATTTTGCTAAAAAAAAAGTTGTTCTTTTTTGGGGATTAAGAGATGTCTTTGATCACAGGTAATGAGGATGGAATTATGTATCAGAAATCTGGAGGCCAGGGAGAGAGCTCAGTAGAATAAGTGCTTGTCTGGCAAGTGCAAGGGCCTGAGTTCAATCCCCGGTTCCACAAAAAAAAAAAAAAAAAAAAAAAAAAATCTGCCAGCAGTGACAAAATGCCCTAAGTAGCAGGGAAATGAACCCTGAGTTGGTATTTGGTGTGTAGATGTCCATTCCAGGCCCTGAGGGTCATTTTTTCAAGCACCTTCCTGGGCTTCTCTGCAAATGGCAGTCAGGCGACAGGTCTCTGCTTGTGCTTGTGCTTGTGCTTGTGAGGCAGGCACTTACGTCACTGAGCTATCTCCCCAGCCTAACTCCAAAGACATGGAGCGAATCCCAGGGAAGATGGGGAGGATCCTTTGACCTAGACGACGGGAGGGCGAGGCACATGGAGTTTTGCTAGGGGTGGAGTTTGAGGGGCAGGGTCAGTGATACCCAAGGAGCTGATTGGGGTCTCCCTTGTGGCTCAGAAAAGGTGAGAAGAAATTGTACCCAGGACTGGGTTGGGGGAGAAAGGGGAGGTGATCTCTGGGAAGATAAACTGTTGTTTTAAAGGCTTCAGCCATATTAGATGGCCACCATAATAATTCAGCAATTCATACTAGGGCCAGAACCTATCAATTTCAATTTAAAAGTTTAATTTTAAAATGTAAAAAGATGCATGTAAATATGCCCTGAGGAAAATCTTATTTTCTTTCATGCATTTCACCCAAGTAGCCAGTGTGTCTGGGAGTTCTGAGGAACAAGAGGACCTTCTTGACAGACTGGACCAACTTCTGGATGATGGTACATGCAAATGATTCAGTTGGCCTTGGGCCGGTACTCAGAGGCCTTTCTCCTGAGCTCATCATTAAATGTGGGGCTGAGCGAAGGCGCCAGCAGAGGGAGCTCAGACTCCTCAGGAGAGGAGCCTCAAAAGCCCATCCCCGCCCAGGATGCGGCTTCTGGGACCCGAGGGAGGATCTGCTTCTGTAGGATGTGCAGCATGGCACAGCGCGCCAGACTGGGCAGATGGATGCCAAGAAAGAGCAGCCAGAGCTGGCAGCAGCTGGCTTTTCCCAAAGCACCCGCAGGTGCAGGTGCCTTCCCCCACGCGGCAGGGTACATGGTCCTGGCACCACTGCAGAATTCTCTGCATCCTCCTGAGCAGGAAGGGAAAGTGTCCCATGTTGAAGGGTGGGTCTTGCTGATCTATAAATGGAGAGGCTGACTGGCCCTAAAGACAGGATGACAGGATGGGTGGGCAGCTTGAGGGCAGAGCTCCTGCCTAGCATGGTGGAGGCCCTGGATGCCATCCTCAGCCCAGCAGACAAAGCAAACCAAACAAACCAAGGAGGCTAGCAGCTACAGTTCTACCCAGCAGTTCTTCCCCTGAAAAATTAAAAAGGGGGAAATAGAAGCTAAGTGTGTCATTGTCCAGGCTGGTGAGTGTGTGGTCTTCCCTGGACCTGAGTATATGAATGGGCACGGGGTTCCCATGCCTGCCCTTGGGTGGAGGCTTCCGGATGGAAACAGCAAATTAAATTCCTGTTCTTAGACTCATCAAGAGTCTCTAAAAGTGAAGACCAGGAATCTGCACATTTTTAACATTCCCCACCTTAACTGACCTTCAGGGATTTACGACTGCATCAGGCAGTGTTTACTAGAGGAACATACCACAAGGGTTACGAATGTGTGAGAATCTCCAAGATTGGCTCCCAGTGGCCACCACAGAGCCAGAGGAGGAAGCATGCAGAGGGCGTCTGCCTGCCCCCAGGAGACTGAAGGATCCAGCCCAAGGTCTGGAGCTCACTTTGGTGGCTGTGTGAGTCCGCGTCAGGAGGCTGCACCGGCAGGTAGAAGGACCTGCAACAGAAGCTGAAGAGTCTGTGCTGGAAGCCAGGAGATGATGTCCAAGGTGGAGGCTGAGACTGGAGCTCCTCTGAAGAAACAGAAGCATGGAGGCTCTTCTGGTTCTCATCGTTGCCCAGGAAGTTTATATTTGTAGTCCCATGGAAAAGTTATTGGGATTCTAGTGAGCTCATTCCAATCTACCACTTCCAGGGCACCCCATGGTGAAAATGAAGACACTAAGGCATATTTGTAGTTATGGGGAGCCAAGGGGTCCTAAGTCCAGCCATGGTGATGCTTAATCGGAACAAAGCCCATGAGCCTGGATGGAACCCAGATTTTATTGACTCATGAAGAAGGGAGTAGCTTGCGGATGAATGACTGGTGAGAGGGGCGGGAAGGAGGTCTGTGCTGTGAGCTGGGCCAGGCAGGAGGCCTGAATCACCTCTGCAATACGCAGAGAAGGCTGTGCAGAAGGAGTAATCTGCATGACACAGCTGAGATGGTATCTGATGTTTGGGCTCACTGCTTCAGCTCTCATGTGCAATCCTTGGAGTCCCAGGAGGTCGTAGCCTCTGTCTTCCACAGAGAGGAGCTTTGGCTCTTTATCCCACCTCCTCAGGCTCACACAAGGGCACAATAGGGGCCCAGGGAAACACTGGCTGCCATCTCAAAGACCCCACATCAGAACCTGCGCTGGACTAATACTGCTTAAGGCCAATTGAAGAGGTAAGGAAACATCCTAGCCAGCTCCGTACATGTCACCACGTGGAAATAGGGTCAGGTTCACCCAAAATGGCGACAGCTGCTGCTGCTCCTAGGAGAGTCGCCCAGGTGTCTCCCACACCGAAGCAGACCCCTCCGTCCTCATTTTCCCTCTGTACCCCCCAAGCCATGAACCACCTTGGGGGGTGGTCTTCTGCACTCTACGGTGTGGAATTGCTGAGCTGATGGAAAGTTCTCTTACCCAGGTTGACACGATGAGCCATTACAGTGACCAAATACTCTTTCAACTCATGCTGCTAGTGTACCCGAATAGTTTCCTGTAAATTTCATGGCAATCATCAGTGAAGCACAACTGGTGCCTCTTGGCACCTGAGCTAGCAGGGAGACCTCATGCCAGCTGCCAGATGAGTGAGGTAGATCTTCTAGCGCTGGCCACCGTTCATATCCGCCTGGCTATCCACCTGTCCTGTGCAGGCGTAGGCAGTCCAGCCAATTGAGAATTGTGGGATAAAAACGTGCTACAGCGAAGACATTTAGAAAGTGGCTAGGTTGTAGCTGCATGGAGTTTTGGGAAAACAGAGAGATAATCTAGAATCTTGAAGGGGCAGGGGGCCTGGCAGGAGGTCTTTGGGTCACTGGGGGTGTGCCCCCAAGAGGATCATGGGACTCCAGCCTCTCCCTCTGCTTCTCAGTTGTGAGGCCAGCAGTTGTTCTGTCTCACACTCACTGTGACGAACCACGTTGTAATGATCCCAAGACAACAGAGGCCACCAACCGTGGGTTGGAACCTCCAAAACTGTGAGCCACAACAGAGTCTCCTGGTTGTTAGCGATCCTTTCCACAGTGCCCATTCCTGGAGACCCCCTCGGTGGCTTCCAACTTCCTGCCTGGTAATGGTGCTGCATGATGGGGAAAGAGAAAGAGCGAGAGAGAACATAGAGGGGTACACAGCAGGGACCTGGGACCACCAGTTGCTCCCTAGGAAAACAGGCCCTGGGTCTCCAGCTGGGGAGCATTTTATCAGTCGGCTTAGGGGAGGGGCAGGGGCTTCTCCTGGAGCAGCACAGAGGCAGGGTTAGAAGGGCCAGTTTAGCATCATCCAGGGAATGGGCCAAGGTCCATCCTGAGCGCTAATCTCACTGAAGGAGAGAGGAAGGTGATACCCACATTCCCAAGCCAGCACACAAGGTGAGCAGGGTAAGGAGAGCCTAGGATAGACTATATCAATGTACAATTTGTGGTCCCCCAACACTGGGAACATTTTTCTTTTCCTTTCTTTTCATTTTGCGATGTTGGAGGTAGAACTCGGGGGCCTGTGCAGGTTAGACAAGTACTCTACCACTGAGCTACACCTTTAGCCCAAGACTTTCTGTTGTGTAGAGATTCATCCAACCCTCCCCCAGTGCCCCTTTACCTCAGTGAGTTCTCCTATCAGGATCTGGGGGATTCCAGCTTGGTCAGATTCGTCTGGAGTTAAGGGGGTTTTTCTTATTCTCTCCTCCCTTTTTAGTGTAGGTTGACCTTGAGTTCATTATCATGTAGCCCAGACTGTGAACTCCTGGTGATCCTCCTGTCTCAGCCTCCTGAGTGCTGGGGTTACAGGCATATGCCAGCACATCTAGCTCCTCCTCTCATTTTTGAAATAGGTCTACTATGTAGTTTAGGCTGACCTTGAACTTACTATGTGGCCTGGGCTGGCCTCAAGTTCCCAGCAATCATTCTGCCTCCGCCTCTTGAGTACTGAGGGCTTATGGGTCCCAACCCAGAACTGGTGGTGCATGCCTGGCTCCTATTCTTGTAGCTCTGCTTTTCAACTGATAAATAGTCCAAAGATCTAAGCATTCTTCTAGTTTGATCCCTGGAGTTCCTTTTTCTTTTTTTGGCAGAACCAGGGATTGAACCCAGGCCCTGGCGCTTGCCAGGGAAGCACTTATTCTACTGAGCCATCTTCCTGGCCCCTCCCTGGAGTTTCTTACCCACCAGCTCTCAGCCCCTTCCCTCAGCCTTTCCCATGTCTATCCATGATAGCTGTCCTGGCCTCACCCTTCTCCAAGCGGAGCTCACCCAGGCCCCTTGACAGGTCTCAGGTACAGAGGAGTCGAAGGTGGCCAAGAACATGCAAATGTTCATCCCAGTCTTCTTTCTACCAAACCATCCATGGCCCCTCTACTGATAAGTAATTCAGTGCAGTTAATTTTCTTATTTTTGTCCTTGCAACTTGAGAAACATTTTGTATGATGCACTGGGGTTTAGAAATCATTTTCACAAGTATTGTACCATCCGTGAGGTGGGTCTTACTATTTTTATCTCTGAGAGGCTCTGGGACTGGCTGGATATCCTCTGTAGGGTCCTCTAAGTGCAGTCCCTGACCAGCAGCAGTGGTGTCTCTTGGGGTGTGTGTGATGAGCATGTTCTTGCTTACCCCAGATCTGCCGAGTCTGAAACTCACAAATGAGCCCAAGACTCTGCTTCCCATGAGCCCTTCCTGTGTTTCTGATGTGTGTGCTACTTCAGGGAGTTACCCAGGAAGGTGTTAGGTTAGGGAAAAGAAAGTAACCCCAAAGCAAAACACTGATGTCTGTAGTCTGTTTAGACTCTTGTTGAAAATCTTTCATTTTGACTAGAAGAAACTGTGTGTGTGTGTGTGTGTGTGTGTGTGTGTGTGTGTGT